CTTGGTTTTTTTTCTAACATTGCTTCATTAAACAACTAAATATTTAAAAATGTAATATTTGGACCAGATGTTGTGAATAATAGTAGATAAAGCTATTTTATTCTGTATTTTTAAAGCTGTTCAGTATAAATAAACATGGGCATAGATGCAATGTGGCAGTGTGGTCTTCCAGTTCCTTGGAAACATCCCCTTTGATGGAGAATCATGGAATTAGAGAATCCTGGGATACTGGGTTTGGGTGGAAAGGGACTTTAAAGCCCATCCAGTGCCACCCCTGCCATGGGCAGGGACACCTTCCACTGTCCCAGGCTGCTCCAAGCCCCATCCARCCTGGCCTTGGACACTTCCAGGGATGGAGCAGCCACAGAGTCTGGGCAATCTCTGCCTGGGCCTCTCACAGACTCACAGGAGGAGTTTCTTCCTAATTGATAATTTTTTCCTAATGGAGAATTGATGATTTGGGAATGCAGGTGATGGGAATACCCAGATTCTTGGTAGCAGGTGCCACCCAAAACTACAACCCCTGAACAACTTCCTGACTCCAGCTGTCAGCCCACAGCTTGTAACACACAGACAAATAAAACTCATTGATTTATAGGGAAAAGGGACAGTTTCCTGCCTGTTCTTGTGATTTACTGCCTGTCCCTCTTTCAGCTGAGGCACCTCCAGATCTCCCTGTGTGTGGATAAAGGARCTCAGTGTCACCTTGGCTCATCCCCAGCTTAATAAAGCTGACAGCACCTCTCCTTTTCCCTAGCCCTTTAATGAACTCATTTCTCTGCAGCTCCAATGGCAAATTCCCAGTGTTAGCCCAGAGCAGCAGCRATGCCTCTGAGGGATTGGGAGCTGGGAACATCTGGCTGAGAGTACACAGCAGCTTCAGGCATCTGCCAGCCTCCAAGGGTTTGGGGAAATGAGGACATCCCAACACCTTCCCTAACTTGGATGTAGCCCATGGTGATGAGTCCAGAAGTGGTGGAGTCAGATGGGAACTAAAACAGAAAAAAAAATCACCCAAATCTGCAGCAAGGGGGGGTGAAAGCAGATGTGGAATCAATGCCAGAGGGGCAGCTGTGAGCACAGCAAGGGATTTCTGAGCACTCCAGGTTTGGGTCCATGATGAAAACCTGATCTTAATCCTGGCTAATCCCCTGTGCTACTGTGTCAGAGCTCAGGCAATAATTGTGTTTTCTCCTTGTGCCTTGCCCGAATCAGTATGGACACAAAGTGGGCAGAGACTCAAAATTTGGGGATTTTCAGAATGACTGAAACGTCCTCACACAGGGACAGCGATCATGTTTTCAAAGACACAGGTCAGGTACAAGGAGAGGCTTTTCCAGAGCCACATCACTTTCCATCTGGTTCCCAGAGCTTCCTAACAGCTCTCAGTTGTTCCCACACCAAGATGTATCTTGTGTKGTACTGCTTGGTATTATTTCCTGGCAATCAGCTGAGGGCTCCTAAAGCTGAAATAATGGGAAGCTGCCAAGGTAGGAAAGAAGGGAGTTTGGATGCTTGCTCGGTCTGTCTGGGGGGAAATAATTGAATATTGGAAAATTTTGGAGCTGGTGTTTTATTCTGGGGCCTGACTGAGGTCCTTGACAGGAGTAAATCCATCCAAGCTCATGGTTTAGAAGGCACTGGCTGTGATCCCTGTGTGGCATTTAACACAGAAATGCTGATTCAACCTGCACAACAGGTGCTATAACATCCTTGTTCACCTTCTCCTGAGAGGTGTTCAGCAGCCTGGAGGGATGCTTGGGCTCCAAAGGGGCAGAAGTTTTGCTCTCCTTCCACGTGGGTTTGGTTTCTCATGAATCTGTGCTCAACCCTGCTGTGGGTGAAGAGGCAGCATCAGCCTGGCTTGGCCTCCCAGCTGCAGGGAGCCCTCAGAGGGCAGAAATGGGTCAGATTCCTTTTATTTGGTAAATAAATTCTTCCATCCAGGCTTGAGCCTCCCCAGCCCACTACATGCACACTGATGGCAGCAAGCACAACCTCACAAAATCAGGATTTMACCCCAACTCTGCAGCCAAGATCCCCCTGTGCTTCTGCAGGTGCCCACACCAACCCCTTGATTTGTTATTTTATCTTGTGCTCCGTTTGCATCCACCCCACATGCTGAGGGTCAGTAGAAGGTCTGCTGGTGTTTGGGGCTGAACCTCTGGGGTTTGGGGCCAGGGACAGCCAGGGCTGGTTCCATTGTGCACTCAGCTGGGCTCTTCCCACTACAAAGGGCCTCTCATCCCTGCCAGCCCTCGATATGCTGCTGGAATATCAATCCTGACCCAGCCCCACTCACTTTCGCCGAGTCAGTGCTTCCTGAAACCAGATGGCTCCTCCAGAAMTTCTCATATTTTACATACAAATCCAAGAAAATAGTGGGGGGGAAAGGGCCATTCCAGTCCATGCCTGCAAAGACGCCTGTTTGGCTCTAACAGCTGCTTAGATTATTCCTTTGTTTTGGTTTTCTTTTCCCTTTTGTGTGGGCTGTTTCTAGGCAAATTCCTTAAAAAGCCCAGAGAAGCCACAAAGCACTGGGAAAGGTCAGGAGCAGACAAAGGAGGAGGGACAYGGCTGCTGCTCCTCTGGAATACTGAACACCCCCAAACTGTCCCCMGGGTGCTGGGACCGGACAGGCAGCATGGGACCCCCATCCCAGGAGTGCTGAGCACTGGTTCAGAGGTAACTGTGACCTCCAGCTGCAGCAGCTGCTTCCAAGCAGATTTTATTTTATTTTATTTCCTTCTCCATCCCCTTCTTGGGGGCAGTTTTGCATCCAGATGGGATCCCAAGGCTGAGGTTGGGAAGCAGCACACAGCCCATTTGCACCATCCCAACAACAGAACAGCGAAGTGTGATGCTTGTGKGKCTCTGGCACTGGAGATCCCAGGATCTGGGGCATTTTAAGGCAGAAATAAGTGCTTTAGCCTGAGTGATTCAGCCCACAAAGCTCCTTCTGGGAATTCTGCATAAAGCTGGAGCTGATTATAAGAGCATTTCCAGCCTGGCTGCGTGGGATGGGGATTCCTTTGGGATCCTGGTCTTGGCAACACAGATGGAGAATATTTCGGGATCCTGTTCCTGATATCAGGGATGGGACATCTTTTGGGATTCTGGTTCTGACAGTGGAGATGGGGTGGTCTTTGGGATCCTGGTCTTGTCACCAGGGATGGAGAATCCTTTCAGATCCTGGTCCTGGCGGTGGGGCATCCTTTGGGACTGTGGTCTTGGCACCAAGCATGGGTCAYCCTCTGAGACCCCGGTCCTGAGGTGCAACCTGGGGGAAGCCAAGGTGTCCTTTGGGAAMCCAGAGCCTGATCCAGGGATGTGAGATGGAGCATCCTTCGGGATGCCCGGGCAGGGACCAACCGGCTGCCCGAGGCGGCATCCTTTGGGGTCCCTAGTCCTGGCACCCGGGAAAGGATCCCGGAGCGGGGATGTCCCTCAGCATCCGGGTTCCGGGATGACCCTGAGTGCGGATGGGAGTGTCCCCCGCGCTCCCGCCCCGCCTGCGCCCCTCCCCGCGGTGTCCGCTCCGCCCTGCCCCGCCCAGGGGCGGCCCCACGGAGGCACCGGCTGCGAGCGGAGCGGGACCGCCACCGCCACCGCCACCGGCACCGGGACCAGGACCAGGACCAGGACCAGGACCGGGTGAGTGCGGGCGGGATGGAGCGTCCTCATCTTCATCCCTGCCCCCATCCCGATCTCCATCCCTTCCCCGGCGCGGGGCTGGGCCGCGTCCCCCCGCAGCCTCAGCGAGCGGAGGCGAAMACCACTCTCCAGCGCCGGGCCGCGGGGGGATCCGCTCCCACAGCCGGGCTGTCACCTCAGCACCACCGAGCCCTCAGCATCACCCTCMGGCCGGGCTGGAGCAGCCGCAGCGCTCCCGGATCCCACCCCGAGCACGGCACCTCCTCGCCCCATCCGCCCGCCGTGGGACCCGCCCGCTGCCGTCCCGGAGCCCACGAGGAGCTGCTGGTGGCCACCGGCTCCTCCCGGAGAGCTTCACCCCGAGTGTTGCCAATGGGTCCCCCCGCTTGTCCCCAAACGACCCGGCACCCCCACGGCATCGCCGCCCGACGGCTCTGCCCCCACTCATCCTTCCACTCCTTCCCTCTTTCCCCTTCCAGGACGGAGCAATTGGGTCGGAGAACAATAGCGGCGTTGGAAAACAATGAAGCTGCCGCACCTTCCCGCCTAGGGATGCGGGCCGGAGGCGTGGAAGGGATCCCAGCTCAGGAGTAGCTCAGCAGCGGCTGCTCCAGGATCTGCCGGAGCGGGGTGAGCGCTCGGCCGTGTCCGATCGTCCCCAGACACCGCGGGGCACGGCGGCTGCTGGAGGCTCCCGGGAGGAATCCTCGCCTTTGGATGATGCTTTGCTACCSATCGCAGCGGGATCGAAGCGCCCTTGGGCCGGTTAAAAGCCGCCCYGGGCTGCAGGGAAGCGGCAGCTTTTGTGCGGGAGGGAATCTCGCGGCCTCCCAGGGGAGCAGGATATTCCCACAAACCCTCGCTCGGCCAGGGGGAGCCTCAGCTGCGCCAAATCCGCGTCTCCCGCCCCAGGGGGGGATGCTGGAGATGCTGGAGATGCTGCCCAGGCTTCCGTGTGCTGCTGGGGGGGAAACCAAGGCAGCCCCCAAAATGGAGATCTCTTTGCAGGAGCAGGGAAGAACACCCCTCTCCTGCTGAAAACACAATATGGRGGSRTTTTGCTACTTTTTTTCTTTTTTTKTTGTTGTTGTTTTGGAACTGTGCAACTCCCCAGGAGCTCAGCAAAAGTGAATGTGAGGGGCTGTGAATGTGGCCAGGCTCCCTCTGCCCCCTGGGACAGGTTGAGCTGTAAGGATGCAGAAAGGAGGTTAGGGAGGTTATTTTTAGGGAGGGGAGCAAGTCTGGGATCCGTGGGGTCTGTCAGGCCTAAAGCAGCTGTTGGAGCAGCTGAGGGCTGGTGCTGGGAGGCACAGAGGGCTGGAATCCTCCCGCTGAGGGGGCAGGGCATTGGTTTGATCTGGTGCTGTTTTAAAAGCACTTTGCAAAACATCAGGAAAAGCTCAGGCCAGGCAGGGCACGGCAGAAACTCGTCAGCTCAGAGGGGGAAACTGAGACACRGGAGGATCTGGGAATGGAGACAGCACCAAACTGCCACAGTTGAGCAATGGAGCAACTTCTGCTTTGCCAGCCCTTTGACTTGGGTGATTTCCAGATTCTTCCACAGCCATAGCGGGGTATTGGGGGTCAGCAGTGCCTGATCTCCAYTGGGGAATATCCAGGCAGCTTCCTCTGCCTCTGCTCACAGCCTGGTTCTCTCAAGACCCAAAAAAGGAAGAATTTGCCCCTTTCCTCAGTGCTCGGAAGGGGATGTGATGACGGAGGCGAAGGTGGCAGAGCCAGTGTGTAAACAGGAAACGACTTCTCAGCACAGGAGGATGAACCTGTGTTTTGGAGCTCCCCTTCCATCCCAAAATAGGCCCTTTTTTTTTGGCTGCAGTTCATGCCCGTGTCCCCTTTGAGGGAAATGGGACTTTGGCTTCACCCATTAGCATCCCCTGGATGCTCTGGAGTGAAGCTCCATGTGGTACCAAAGGCTCCACCCCGGGTTGTGCTGCTGTAAGAGGGTATTTTTTAGCTACTTTGGTATTTCTGGCACCATTTTCACATGTGCCAAGAGCCATGTCCTTTAATCCTCTCAGAACATCCCCAGAGCTTTTCATCACTTGCCAGTGGACAACTMCCAGCAGGATGCTCATTCCTGCTGTTCCTGCATCTCACAGCTGGGAACCCCCAAATTTTGGGCACCACAAGCAGCTGCTGCTGCCCCAACATTTATCCCAAATCTGCAAAATCTTTTCCCAGTACCATGTTTTATGGATAAATAGGATTATTGCTGTGTTTGTTACCTGTGGGAGGATGGATGGATGCAGGACAGGCAGCTGTCAGCCATGGAAGGAGGGTTGGTGCTGGGCTTTGCTGGATTTTTCCAGACTTTGCTGGGTTGTGTCAGGATGCTCGTGCAGCTCTGCAGCTCTGCAGGAAACCCAAAGCTTTGTCAGCCCTTCGCTGGTGATCTTTTCTTCTGCTTTTTCTCTGGGCAGACCCTGAGTCTCAGGGCTGGGCTGGGCCAATTTCCTGCTCTTTCCTCCTGCTCCAACTCCAGCCTCATGTGGGGTTTCAAACCTGACAGAGAATATTTTTGCTGTTGCCAATCATTTATTTGCTGGGATTTATCTCAATTTGTAGGATAAGACACCGGGATTTCCACCACTTTAGGGGCAGGTTCATCCTCCAATGCAGGTTTTACAGCCTGGGTTGAGTCATTTATTCACTTGCATTTTGTTCTGGAGTTGACTGTTTTTCTTGCAGGAAAAGAGTTTTGTTTCCCAGGGGATTGGGAGGAAGCACATGGCAATGTGGGAGGTGGAAAAGAGCAGTGGTTTGCAGAGCAAATGCTTTTTTCTCACCTCACCTCAGTTTCTCTTTYGGGAGAAGGAGAGAGAGGGAAAAGATCCTGAAAAAATTAAATTCTGTCTAGGAGAGCTTGCACAAACATCCAAGGAAAAGCATGACCCCAGAAGGGCTTTTCCTCATTCAAAACCATGCCAGTGTTGCATTCCAAGGTCTCTCTGATGCCTGATTTCCAAAATGTTTTGAATCCACRAGCAGCACTCCAAGGGCTTCAGCCCAAATCTGATTTTAATTCCATTTCATAGCATCCTAAAATCACACTTGAGATCTAAGCCAGGGCCTGTCCCAATGTGGGGTTTTTGGGGACTTCCCAAGAGTTTGCATGACAGCAGTGGGGCTGTTTTGGCACAAAAATCCTGCTGAGAGCACTAAAAAGCTGAAGGATCAGCCCAGCATCTCTGGCTGATTGGAAAATCATCCTTGGTGCCACCACCAGGCTTGGGATGGCCCAAGGAAGTGGCTGCTTGTGCAGAAGAMTGAAATAATTGTAAAATAAACAGAGCAAAGGAACAATTCCCATTGATACCACTCCCACCTCCAGCTCTGACATCACTGGGACACCCTTGGATGCTCCTAATGCAAATTTAGCGTAAGGATATCTCTGCAGGGATTAATTTTTCAGTGAGTTTGCGGCGCCTCTGCTCTTATCTGATCTCCCTCCTTTCCCACCGCTTTCCCATCAAACCCCACCCACTCTGTGTCCTCTGGAGCCTTTTCCCAGCAGTTCCTCCAAACCTGAGGGAGTTTATTTCCCTATTACCCAGGGAGGGTGGCAGGGATGCGAGGATGGGRCGGTTTCCACTGAGGCATCTCTCTCCTCCCTCCTGCAGCTCAGCTCCCATGACAGCRCTGGGGGAGGATGGATTACGGTGGTGGAGAGGACCTGGTACCCTGTGGAAAAAACAAATTCATCTCCAAGTAAGACCCTCAGGAATGCTGGGATGGACGGGGAAATGGGAGGAGCTGGGAGAATTGTTTGCCATGTTCCAGGGGGAATATATGGACTATATGATACATAATGTAATGTCTAATATATTGTCTATAACTGAAAATATATAATGTATAACATATAACAATATATGAAAATATATAAAATATAACAATGTATAATATATGACAATATATAACAATATATAACAATATATAACAATATATAACAATATATAACATTATAAATACAATATATAATATATTATCTGTGACCTATAACATACAATATTTCTTTGAGCTGCAACAATGGGAGTGACCCTGGGTTTTAACTCAATTCAGTGGAATTTGGAAAAAAGAAGCTGTTCTGGGGCAAAAAAAAAGGCAATTTCCTTAAAAAGAAAATGGTTTTTGGTGGGATTTTTAAGTTTTCCTTAGGAGTGTGGCCAGGTGCTCCATAAACTTCCATAAAAATGGGCTTTGCTGAAAAAGTCTTGATTAATAATTGTTCCTCTATTCTTTGGTAAAGAAGTGAAATTATTCCTAAGGTTTAAGGAAGTTTTAAAGAGAAATAAAGCAAATATGTGATATTATTCTCGCTTGTCTTAACCCCAAATCCCCATGATTTTTATGACTTGTTTATATCAGTCTGGTGGTGCTGAACATCCTTAACCTCCATCAGCCAGCCCAGCTTTGGGAATTAATGCCAGAGGCATCATGTCCTGTGATTAATGGCTAGGATGGCTTACTTTTATTTTTCGAAGATTTTTATTTATTTTATTTTTATTTTCATATTTTTATTCCATCTTTTGAAATTTATCTTTGTCTTTATTTTTGTCTTTGTTTTTAATCTTTATTTTTATTATTATTTTGCCCTCAGAGCAGGGCTCAGACCTTTGTTATGAGCTCGAGGCCAGGGGCTGGAGCCAGGAGCCAACGTGACCAACTCTCCTGTGCTAACATGTGACTCCAGTGTGACCCCAGGGCTTGGGGGAGCCTGAAAATTGATTTGTTTTTCAGCCTTGTGACCAACAGCACCAAGCTCTGATGGGGTTTCTTGTCCTTCTGGAAAATTTATGTGGGACACAGTCACTGGGAGTTTCTCCCCCCAGTTGTTGGTGCAAATTSTTGGACCCCCAGAAAATACTTTCAACAGGGGAGGTCTAGAGGTGGCAAAATACCCAAATCTGTCTCAAATAAAGCTAGTTTTGAGTCCCCAGCAGTGTAGCAGGTTTCTCAACCAGGGAAGCAATTCCTGCTTTCTCCCAGTTCCACCCCAGGTAGCCCACAGGTCACCAAGTGGTGCCTGAAGCATTCTCCCTCCTTCCTCCAAACCCCWTCTCAGCAGCTTTCCCATTTTTTCCCCTAGAAATGAGCTGCTCCTGCACCTGAAGACCTACAACATCTACTACGAAGGGCAGAATTTGCAGCTGCGGCACCGGGAGGTGAGAAATCCCCCAGCCAGAGGGAAACTGAGGGAATTGGTCGTGATTCAGACTTGGAGAATCATGGAATCATAGAATGGTTTGGGTTGGAAGCAGCCTTAAAGTCCATCCAGTGCCACCCCTGCCATASACAGGGACACCTTCCATTATCCCTTCAAGGGTGYTTGAAGCYCTGTCCAGCCTGGCYTGGGACACTGGACATCCCTGGACACTTCCAGGGGCAGCCACAGCTTCTCTGGGAATTCTATCCCATCCCCTCCCCATCTTCACAGGGAAGAATTTCTTCCCAATATCCCGTCTAAACATGGAATCATGGAATGGTTTGGATTGGAAGGGACYTCAAAGATCCTGTCATTCCAACCCCCTGCCATGGACAGGGACAGCTCTCACTGGGTGCTCCAAGCCCCATCCTTGGATTCTGTGAACTGGAGAGACGGGATGTGATGGATGGAGCACTCAGTGCAGATGGAATTCACTGGCTGATCTTTGAGGTGCCTTCAACCCAGACCATTCTATGGTTCTGTGTCATGTTCCCTGTCAGATGTTTTGCCCAAGTCCGGGTAGATGACATCAGTTCCTTCATCCACCAGAGCTGTAACCCCATCCTGGAAGGTCACAGAGTTTTGTCCCAGTGAAGCCACATTGGCTGTCACCAATCCTTGTTCTCCAAGTGCCTTTAGCACAATTTCCAGGAGGATCTGGCCTGTGGCCTTAGCAGGCACAGGAGTGAGACTGACCAGACTTGTGAGATGTATAGAAATAGAATCACAGGGTGGTTTGGGCTGGAAGGGACTTTACAGAACCCCAATCCCCACCCCACATTCCCAGCTGCTCTCTGGGTTCTGAGGTGCCCGTCTGTGCCTCAGGAAGAAGGGGAGCTCATAGTGGAGGGACTGCTGAACATCTCGTGGGGGCTGCGCCGCCCCATCCGCCTCCAGATGCAGGACGACAACCAGCGCATCCGCCCGCCGCCCTCCTCCTCTTCCTGGCACTCGGGCTGCAACCTGGGGGCCCACGGGTGAGTGGGGGCAAACACACACAGACACCCCCAAAAACACCCCCTGTGGTTTTTTTTTCATGGCTGAGCAGGGGAGATGGACAGACACCCCCAAAGGCACACAGATGGTCGAGGTTTGTGAACTGCCCCCCCAGCTGCTTCCTCTGTGTTTTGTTTGTCTGGAGTGCAGCACCTGGAAGAGCTCAGTCTGAAAGAAAGGATTGGGTGTTCACGTAGCAAAGCTCCCCCATCTTTTTCAAATCCTCCCCCTTTTTTTCAAAACTCCCCTTTTAGCTCTTTTGCAAACTCCACCCATTAGAAAGAGACACCTCTTTTGCTAAAAAAAAACTTTTTGCACCCTCCCTTTTTCTACTTCCCTTTTTTCAAAACTCCTCTTTTTTCAAAGATCCGCCTCGCTTGCTAAGACACTGCTTTTTCCAATCCCCCATTTGCAATACCCCCTTTTGCAACCCTCCCCTTTTTTACAGATCCCTCTTTTACAAAATACCCCTTTCTGCATTCCCTTTTATTACCCCCGTTTTTGCAAAGACCTCTTTTTCTGACCCCCATTTTGAAGCCCCCCTTTTTTTATTAATCTCCCCTTTCTTGAAAATCTCCCACTTTTTGCAACTCCCTTTTTTGCAACTCCCACTTTGCAAAACTCCACCTTCTGAAAAAAACTCTCCCTTTTGCAACTGCCCTGTTTGCAGCCCCACCCCTTTTTTGCAGACCCCTCTTTTTCCTAAAATCCCCCTTTCTAGTCCCTCCTTTTTTCAGACCCTCCCTTTTTGTAACCCCTCCTTTTTTCAGAACCCCTTTGCAGGCCCCTCTTTTACAGAGACCCCCTTCCCCAAACCCCCTTTGCCTGCAGGAAATGCCCCCAAACCCCCCCTGCTTCCTTCCCACTTCCACACCARTTCCATGATCGATGTTGCTCTGGTTCCAGTGATCCCAGTTCTGCATTTCCCCTGGSATTCTGGGCTGCAGCTGGATCCCAGGGGCAGCCAGGCTGGGATTTGCTGTGGCCATGGGGGTCTCCCTGCTTTTTCCTTGATTTTTTTTTCCCATCTCCCAAGGGCTAAGGAGGGCAGGTTCAACTTCGCCTTTGCAGGTTGTGTGCTGGAGCCAAGGAAARGCTGTTTGTGGCTCAGCATTCTTTCCTGAGAAGAGGGTACCTGGGGTTACACCCTTCAAGGTTTTTTTGGGAGCAGGGCAGGATRGGTTTCAGGATTTATGTTGCAACCAGCCCATGCTGTGACCCTTCAGGGATGGTTAGCTGCCAATCCACAGGGAGAACAGGCTGCTTCCCAGCCTGGAATCAGCATCATGGGGGCAGGGGGGAAGATTCCCTGGATTATCCTTTCCTCTGCAGCCACACAGGGCACCCATTGTCACYTCTGTCCATCTCCAGGTCGGTGCTAAAGCCCAGCACCCTGCCAGACATCCAGGTGACGGACACAGAGCCCAACACGGACACTCCCGGGAATGGTGCAGGTGAGCAGGGCTCAGATCCGCTTGGATTTGTCCTGGTGCTTGGGAGCAGGTGCCTCCTGCTCCAGTTTTATTTAAGAAAATATAAACCAGGCTTGTTCTCAACTCCAGACTCWGTTTCCCAGCCACTTCCTAAGCTTCTTTATTCATTTTATTCAATCTTTTCCCGGATGGCCCAAACCTCAATAATCTTAAAGGTCTTTTCCAACCTAAATGATTCCCTGATTCCCAAGAGTTTTTGCTCAGGGAAGGGGCCACAARTGAGATGTGGTGGAGATGAACTTGGAAAGAAATGGGAGGATGGAGCAGAGCCTCGTGGGATCGCAGGGGAAAGGATGCGGGCACTTCCCCTTCCCGGAGGCTGCACTTTTTGGGAAGAAGAATAGGCGTATTGGGAAGAGCTGTTACCATGGCAAAGTCAACATTTCTGCAAAGTGTTTTTCCCCTCCTCTGTAGAAAGGGAAGAGCTCAGCCAGAGCTTCATTAACCCCTTGTTCTAGGCACAGACAGCGAGGAACAGGACACAGGGTGTCCCACCGGATATTGCTGCAGGAAATACCTGCTGGATGCATTTTTCTCATTCAGTTAGGGCATTTTGCAGATGTTGTGTTTTTATGGGTGTTTTTCAGGGGGTTGGTGGGGGTAGAGAAGAACCAGCTCATCCTTTTGATTTTGGGAGGAGCAGAGCCCATACAAAACTTGATCCATTAACCCCCTTCCATGACCCTACAACTTTTTCCCTTGTTTTTTTTGATCTCCACCTTCACAACACTTTTCCCCCTTAATTAAATCTTTCCCGGGCAATACCCACCCCATGTCACCCCACCATGATTCCCCAGCAGCTGTCTCAGCCTTATGGCCTCACTCCTCTGCCAGCACGTAAGAAAAAAGGCTTTTATTACATTCTTCCCTAAAATCCAGTTAAAAATCAGTGCCTGACGTGCATGCACAGCTCCTCGGGACTGCTTAGTCACCGTGTGTGGAGCTGGAGCAGCACTTACTGGAAATTTCTCCCTGCTGCAGACATGCTTTGAATTAAAACACCCAAAGCTGGAGCCTCAGAGGTTCATTAAAAATGGATGAAGACCTGGTTTATAATAATCTGGATCCAGGCCAGTTTTCATGCAGAGATCTGTGGCTCTGCCCTCGTTTGCCTGTTCTCATTAAAGAGAAGGAGAACAGAGAAAGTTAAATTATGGAAAAGCTAGAGAAGATGCTCAAGTTCCCAGGAGAAGAGGTTTTATCCAGTTAGCAGCCTGGATTTAGTCAGTTAATTCTGAATTAATGACCTTTCTGGGGAGCTGGGTGAGAATAAACCAGTTACTGTGGTTTAAACTGGTGTGTTAAATGTGTCCTGGGAAGTTTGTAGGGCTTGTTCTTGGAGTGAGGATTTCTGCATCCATGTGGGAACTTCCAATGGCTGTGATTCTGGAATCACAGAATCTCCTGAGTGAGAAGGAATCACGAGGATCATTGACCCAGCTCCCAGGCCAACACAGGACATGCCAACAATCGCACAGGGATTGTTCTCCTGGCAGGGTCAGGAGAATCTGGAGCTTCTGGAGCTCTAGAGGAGAATGCTGGGGGTTCCCAGCTGTCCCCATGTCCCAATGGGATGTTTGCAGCCCCCAGGCCGCAGCAGGAGGAGGCYCCACAGCTGATGAGGACACGCAGCGATGTTGGTGTTCGGCACCGCGGCAGCGCTCGCACGCCCGGGGAGCAGCGCCGCCTGCGCCGCCACCGCTTCTCCATCAACGGCCACTTCTACAACCACAAGGTGAGCACAGCCCCATGGCACAGCTCGAGGGTCCAGGGCTGGCCAGGGAGAGCCTTCAATGGCTTTTGTGCYCCACAGACGTCCGTGTTCACCCCCGCCTACGGCTCGGTCACCAACGTGCGCATCAACAGCACTATGACCACCCCCCAGGTCCTCAAACTGCTGCTCAATAAGTTCAAGGTAAGGTCATCATCCCCCTCTCAATGCCCCTGGGCTGCTCTGAATTTATATATTTTTTATATATTTTCTATATATTTTTTATATATTTTTATATATTTTTATATTTTAAATATATTTTTATATTTTATATATACTTTTAATATATTTTTAAAATTTTTTTTATATTTTTATATATTTTTAATATATTTTTATATATTTTTATCTATTTTTAATATATTTTTAATATGTTTTTGTGTGTGTGTGTATTCTACGCATTATAAATGAAAATCATATATTTATAGATATATTAGATACATAAATATCTATATATTTATATTTGAATATATAGGCAAAATATATGTTATATATTCATAATATATTATACATATTCATAATATATAATTGTGTTACTTGAAAAATATTGTATTAACTATAATTTTATTAATGTATAATATATAATATATAATATATAATATATAATATATAATATATCATATATCATATATCATATATCATATATCATATATCATATATCATATATCATATATCATATATCATATATATAAATAAAATAAATAATAAAAATTATTTGTGTCAATAAATATAATAAATACTCTATAAAATACGTATTGATACATATTTATAAATAAAATATGTTAATACAATAACTAATATATACTAAATACAATATATAATTATAAGTATATATTAATAAATGTAAATATTACACAATACATTATGGAATGCAAATATGAAGTACATTAAATATACTATGTAATATATAGTAAATATGTACTATATATTATATCTAGATAAATAATTTATATAATATAAAAATACATTTAATATATGTAATTATTATATTATTGTATAAATATTTTTATACCTTTGTACTTACATATATGTACTTATATAACTATATATCTATATATATTTATATATATCTATATACTTATATATCTATGTATAAAATGCAATGGCCCAGTGAAATAATGGGATTTTGGTTTTGATTCCTGGGACACCCCAGGGTAGGAACCTGCCCTTTAGCAGAGCTTTGTATCTTCCTCCAGATTGAGAACTCTGCGGAGGAGTTTGCTCTGTACATGGTGCACACAAGTGGAGGTGAGTGGCCCATATTATTCTGGCCATGAGTGATGGGCATTAGTGCTCCAAAGCCCCTGGATGTGAGGTGCTCCAAACCCCCTGGATTTGAGTGAATGCCCCAAACCCCCATGGACATTAGTGCCCCAAACCCTCTAGCCCTGAGTGCCCCAAACCCCTGGCCCTGAGTGCCCCAAACCCCTGGATGTGAGTGCCCCAAAGCTCCTGGATGTGAGTGCCCCAAACCCCTGGCCCTGAGTGCCCCAACACCCTGGCCATGAGTGCCCTAAACCCCTGGGTGTGAGTGCCCCAAAGCCCTGGCCATGAGTCCCCCAAATCCCTGGGTGTGAGTCCCCCAAACCCCTGGATGTGAGTGCCCCAAACCCCTGGATGTGAGTGCCCCAAACCCCTGGCCATGAGTGCCCCAAACCCCTGGATGTGAGTGCCCCAAACCCTTGGCCCTGAGTCCCCCAGACCCCTGGCCATGAGTGCCCCAAACCCCTGGCCATGAGTGCCCCAAAGCTCCTGGATGTCAGTTCCCCAAACCCTTGGCCCTGAGTCCCCCAGACCCCTGGCCATGAGTCCCCCAGACCCCTGGCCCTGAGTGCCCCAAAGCCCCGCGGTTTTGGTGCTGCTGCCTCGTCCCCGGCGCTGCCCGCTCTGTCCCGGCCCAACCCCGCGGTTTTTTGGTTGCAGAGAAGCAGAAGCTGCGYGGCAGCGACTTCCCCCTGCTGGCCCGCATCCTGCAGGGCCCCTGCGAGCAGGTCTCCAAGGTGTTCCTCATGGAGAAGGACCAGGTGGAAGAGGTCACCTATGATGTGAGTGTGCCCGCACAGGATGCACGTCACCCTCGGGAGGGCTTGGATAAACTGGGGGATCACAGAATCTTGGAGTGGTTTGGGTTGGAAGGGACCTTAAAACACATCCTGTCCCACCTCCACCATGGGCAGAGACACCTTCCACCATCCCAAGTTGCTGCAAGCCCCATCCAGCCTGGCCTTAGGCACTTCCAGAGATCCAAGGGCAGCCAAGCTTCTCTGGGAATTCCATCCCAGCCCCTCCCCACCCTCATAGGGAAGAATTTTTCCCCGATGAACAGATGTGCGCTGGGGCTGCAGGAATTGCTTTGCTCCTGTGTCTCTCCATGAAAACTCCCGATCTTATGGGAAAAATCCTCATTCTGTGCTGAAAGAGCAGCCTCCAGCTCCAAGCCRGAGCYGACAGTCCCAGCCCTATTGTGCCAYCCCCAATCTGATCATGGAAGAGCGATTTCAGCACAGCCTTTGGCGTGACTGGTGTTTTTCCAGCCGGGAAAGCGCCACAGGTGGGAGCGGCTCYGTGTTGCCATCTGCCGGCTTTCCAGGCCTGCTGTGCTCTGAAATCCCAGCTCAAACGAGGCATTCCTGSGGTGTATTTGGGCTTAAACAGCTCTGAGACACTGGGGACACTCGTCACTCTGCTCAGGGCAATGGAGCCACCTCTAGGTAAATCAAAATAAAATAAATCTTGGGTAGACTTTTTTCCAATAATTATCCAGTGCTCACTCATTTGCATGAGCTGATGTTTACTCTCTGCAGAGGAAACATCTTTTATTTTAGGGWTTGTTGCAGAATTTGGGGATCCCTGATATCCCAGATTAAATCTAAGGAGACAATGACAGGGGCCAGTTCTACACCCTCTTTATCATTTCCTGCTGTTCCTCTCCCACCCAGGTGGCTCAGTACATCAAATTTGAGATGCCCATCCTCAGGAGCTTCATCCAGAAGCTGGAGGAAGAGGAGGATCGGGAAGTGAAGAAGCTGAAGCACAAGTATGTTGGACTGGGAGTGTCACATGTGGGATGCTGGGAGGGAAGAGCATTCCTCGGGGGCTGCTTTGGTCACAAAAATTCATTTGTGTAGCCCTGCATCGCTGATGTATGCAAGAGCCTTTGAGATTTGCACTATTCCAGGGTTTTTTTAGACAGCTTGATGCTGGAAAATCCTCTTTTCTTTGTCCTGTACCTCTCCAGATATTCCATCCTGCGGCTGATGATTGAGCAGAGGCTGGAGGAGATTTCTGAGGGTCCGACAGCGATGTGAACATCCCTGTAGGATGTACTGCACCAAATCCCAGCYCCTGCCATTCCCGGAACGTTCCCAGTGTCCATTGGGATTGCTCCAGCTCTGAGCCAACCRTCCTCCCACGCCTTCACGCCGCAGAATCCTCGGGGGGCTCCTCCTCGGCACACAAGGGCTCTTCCCTGGAAGGCTTCRGCTGGTGGCAGCTTCAGCCAAAACCTCAAATCCTTGGAAAAAGAAAAAAAAAAATGGAAATCTGTGAGCAGCACAAAGCTGAGGACAGAGCTGAGTGAGAGCTGCCAGAGTTCCAGAGCAGGAATTGGGGGCTCAGTTTGGAAATRGCCAACATGGCTCCCAGTGACAGACCCACTGCTCGCCAGCAAGAGAGCACAAGCAATTCCTCTTTTTTTTCTTTTTGAAGAAAAGCACATTCTTATTGCAATAATTTGCAGGTGTCAGGGAGAGTCTGTAAATTGAAAGGGTTGGCTGAGATTTGGGGGGTTTAACCCTGACCTGAGGGCTCACGGGTGGATTTCAGCACAGGAGAAAATCCCATTTTTCCAGCGCTTCCCCAAACCTGCATCTGGTGGTGCACCTCCCTCCATCTCCCRCTCTAATTTGCACTAATATTTAGGGATTTTTAAGAAAACCATGATGTCAAAACTCTCTGGTAGCTGTAAATGCCAAATAGCACTCACAGGGATAGCTGAGGGCCTTGAGCATCTCAAGGGATGCTGGATGGAAAAGAGAAGGCAGGAGGAGGGGGAGGCAGGAATAAAGAGGATTTTATTTTGCAAATCCATTTTCCAGCATTGCCAACACGTTATCCTGGTGAAACCAGGACTAGACTGGCTCCATTACCACCATCAGCTGGAAGAACCTCTTTCCTCCTAGGCTAAACCAGCAATATCAGTTTTATACCTCGATGTGAACTAAACCTCTAACTTTCTCCCTCCCCTTGAGTTTTTGCAATGCATCTTGTTAATTATTTTTTAAATTTTAATGGTACCTTTTCCACCTTTAACTCGTGTTCAGGAAAGTGTTGTACAGTGAGAGGAGCTTTGTATGTGTTTGAAGGATGATTGTTGCACTGCTGTGTGGATTAACAAGAAAATAAAATATGTAGCAATTTAATACAGAAACCCCTAAGTAAGAGCCTGRTTTGTCCAAAATAAATCACTTTGTGGATAGAAACGCCATAGAAATGGCCTCCATGGGAGCTGGGAGCAATGAGGGACAAGAATAAAACCTGTCTGAATCCAAATGGAGGTGTTTCTCAAGGAGAAATGMTCTTACCTTACAGATTTAAAGACTCACATCTAAGTTGCTGTAGGATTTTTAGGAAATATTGGTCTGGTTTATGGCTTATCCAGCACTTAGGAACCATTTATCCCCATGCACCGTGGTCAGCAGGCTCCGTCCCGTGGATATTTCTCTCCCAGAAGATAAAACTCACTACATACCCATTGTTTTGGCCTCCAGGAGCTTTCCCCAGGGTATCCCAGCCCCACTTTGCTGTGTCCCTGGAGCCGGGTTATCCAGCCCACTGAAGCCCAGTTATCCCTCCCCGCACAGGAGGGGTGGGAGTGACGTGGGCTCCACTGATTCTGGCGGAAAAAATCTGGAATGAGCTGAGCCTGGCAGGCACAGACGGGAAGAGCCATCACCGGCRCGGCCCCGGGTGCTCGGGTAAGGGCAGCACCCTTGGAGTTTGGGGTAAAAAGGGAAGGAATCAGGTAGAGAAACAGGCGAAACGCAGAGGGGTTTGGCACACAACTGAGCTGGAGGTCGGGGTGGGGACAGGAGCCCRGGGATGCTCCAGTGCTGGGATTTTCCCTGGCTGGTGATCCAAAAGTTTGGGTGATGGTGGGGAAGTAGAGAGGGGGAAAAATAGGAAGGGAAAATTATRGTGTCTGAGTTTTTTTGTGGGATTTGCCTCCCAGTTTTGTGGTGTTTCTAGTGGCGATGCAGCTTCCAATAGCTGGAAGGGGGACACTTCTCTGGGCTTTCTTTGAAATACCCCAAATAGTTGGAGGAGTAAGGCAGGGAAACAAAAGAAATTAAATTAATCAAGTGTGATTTTCATATTTGAAGTGCTGGGTTTGGAAGGGGGGGTCAGGCCTGGCACCTTCCAGTGSAAGAGAATCGCTGACACAGGGATGCCATGGCCGGGGCTGCTGGCCAGGGGGGCTCTGCTTTTACAAAAGGCTTTTGTCAACACGGCTCCTGCTATTTTGGGGWTGATTTTGGGCCTGCGATGGCTCAGCAGCTTCAGTACAATGAGTCTGTTTGCTCAGCCCCTGGCTGGAGRGGCTGCAGGGTGGGGGACGAGTGGGGAACCTCATCCTGGTGCTCCCGAGCTTTGCAGTGGGGTGGGGAACTGAAGGTGTGAATTTGGAAAACTGGGAGGGTTTGTTTGCACCATGGTGTCCACCCTCCCTATTTATTAAATGTATAGAACAGGGTAAATATGTACAGTAATGCATTAAATCATAGAGTCCTGMAATGGTTTAGGTTGGGAGGGACCTTAAAGACCATCCAGTCCCAMCCCCTGTCATGGGAAGGAACATCTTCCACTGGAAGGTGTGTTTTAACTATGTATTATGTACTTAAATAAATACAATATATAAAAATAGGTGTATATATATATATGTAAATATAATAAAATAACATAATAATTATTAATATAATAATACATAATGCACAGTATTAACCATCATTATGTATTATATGTTCTCCATTAGAAATTACTGATTATTGATTACATATTGTTATTCTATATTCTCTACATGTAGTAACCTAGCAATAAATGAATGTATAAATAAATTATAAAATATGTAATATATATAGATAAAAGCCATTGAGGTTAGCTCAGCTGATTGCAGGAGGGTGCTAATAACACCAAGSTTGTGGGTTTGATCCCTCCACGTGCCACTCACYGAAGAGTTGGACTTCATCSTTGGGGCTCCCTTCCAACTCAGAAGATTCTGTGAGGTAAAATATAGAAATAAAACGGATAAAGCTGCATCAATAAATCAAKAAGTGCATTAAAGGCAGGCTGTCCCGGGGCTGAGGCGGTGCGGGCGCTCACTGTGCTCCCTGTTCCCTCTCCGCAGGTGGGGCAGGATGC